GCCAAAGCGCAGCACACCACGGCGCCGGGCTGAGTCAGGGCTAGCGCTGGCCACACGATGGCTTCGTTGTGAGCCAGAACCACCTGCCAGCCCAAATGGCTTCACAGCGACAGCACAAAAGTAGGAGCCTACTCTTCTCCCAAAGGATGGATTGAGTAAAAAAACTGTTTTTCTCAGAAAACAGAGGTCGCCTTCCCCTCTCCAACCATCTACGAACCTCTAACGCGGGAGCATGCGGGGTTTTGAGGATACTCACAGGGATGCTGGGGGTTCCACCAGCCCCAAACCTTGCTCCGGCATCAAAACCACCTTCGACAAGGACTGTCGAGCCCGGAGGATAAACCGGCCCCACGGGGTAATAAGCCATGGGGACCGAGGAGCCGACAGGCCCCACGGCCACCGACTGGGTCACGGGCAGGAAGACGGAAGCGCCTGGATACGCCGCAGACATCGTCGGGACGGTGGCAGCTCCCAGAGGCACGAAGCTGGGACGGTAAAGCTGGAGGTGGAGGAAAAAACCAAAAAAAAGTGTGAGTTTCGAGAGTTGTTATCCCCCCAGAGTCGGGTGTTTACTTTCTGTCACAGACTTTGACCCTCCCGCTTCCTAAAGGGCATCCCCGAGCTTTGGGGTACAGCAAAAGGACGTTTTTCCCACTGTTGGGGACAGTTTTCCCACCACCACCTGCAAGAATCCGAGCGCGAGAGGGAGCGGACGAGGTGTTTTACAGGTGAGCTCAGCTCGTCATCTGACGGGGAGCTCTGAACATTGGTCCCTTTGAGCAGATGATTCAGATCTCATAGAAGAGAATCTTTGGACCCGGGAATCTGCGTATACAGAGAAGGACAACGAAGCTGGGGATGGGTCAGGAAAACAAGTCTCCCGAGGAGCGGCTGAGGGACCTGGGGCTGTTCAGCTGGAGAAGAGGAGGCTGAGGGGAGACCTCACGGCTCCCCACAACTCCCTGACAGGAGGGTGCAGCGAGGTGGGGTCGGTCTCTTCTTGCAGGTTACAAGTGACGGGATCAGAGGAAATGGCCTCACGTTGCTCCCGAGGAGGTTTAGATTGGACATTAGGAAAAATTTCTTGCCCAAAAGGGTTGTCAAGCGCTGGCACAGGCTGCGCCGGGGGG